TTTGGGAGCATCTGTTATCTTTTCTAAAAATTAAAATTTATTTTTTATTATTTACAAAAAATTCTCAAAAATCATTTTAGAACAGTTGATTGTGTTTTATATATTTTTATTCCTCTTGCTGCATTCTGAGCAATCGAGTTTATTTTACGGAACTGATGATCCTAATTTCAAGCAATTTAAGAGAAGTTTAAAAAAATAATTTTTGTCATGCTATCTGCCACGAGCTCCAATTGGAGATCGAGGCATTTGCAAGTGTTATGACAATCTAAACTTTGAATATTCGAAACAAGAATTTCTAATCCATTGAGGAGCAACCCTGCTTCAAGGAAATGCTACGTTTTGCCATTAGCTTAGATCAGATGATCCCAAAAAAACGTCGCAGACAACTTTATTCATGAGCACACTCAATTTTAAGTGAAAAGACAGGCCAGAGGATTCGCTGGACCATGCCGGCATGACAATGGATTCACACCCATATAAACGAGATAATAACAGAGTGGGGGGACTTGGGTTCTCTATAACTGAATCCCAAGACAGAATAAAGTAGTAGGTGAGATGCCAGAAAAGAAGGAACAACGAAATAACACACACACAAACGGAAACAAGGGGGTCGGAAGCAAAGACGAACCTGGCGTTGCGAGAAGAGATCCCGGGGGCAATCAGAGTTTTAGATGCGATTTCTCACCACCCCCCCCCCCTAGATATTGTTTGTCTTTCCATGACACACGAATACTTCAATTACAAAGTACTGCATTTGAAGTACAGAGGAACTTCTGCAAGTTAAACTCTGGAGGGGTCCACAAAAATTTGACTCAAGAACTTCTAGTGAGAGAAACTGCAATATTTTCAAAATTTGACTCAGCAATATTGCCTATCAAATTACAGTTTGACCTTCTAAACAATTGAATACAGATGACCAGCAAACAATCTGTTGTAGAGAGAATTTTGTTGCAGACAGAAAATTCAATCATTGTAAAAAGAGTTTATCTTTCTTCAATTTTTAATCAAAAAACCGACTGCAGTCTTTCATTCCAAAGCAAAAAAATGATTTTGAAGGATCCCATCTTTTCTCTGACTTCCCTGACGATTTTCAGAATCATGCCTTAATTCATTACCATTGAAAATGGCCATTTTGACAGCTGTTCCAGTGGGAGGATCAGGGAGTGGTCAGGCAAATGCGGGATTGACACCAATCACACACAGTGGGCGGTGACCACACCTAACACCCACCCACTTCTCCTCCATGGGTGTCCGTCCCCCGACAGACCAACAATAGGTAAACCGAGGGAATAAAGACAGTCGAGTCCCTTTTGATAAGAGCATCACATAGCTGAGAGAGCAGTGTGATTTGAATGCCTAAAAATCCCTGGGATCTCAGCCGAAAAACGGAGGAGGCCGGGGGAAGGAATTTAATTGGGCGGGGGGGTCGGGCGCGGAGTCGATGATCCGCCCGTTCCCGCAAAAGGTGACACCTCAATTTTCTGCCACAGAGCAATTATCACGCGCGGTCGGGTATCTTTCACTGCTACTGTATTCTGCGAAAAACCACGACCCGACGTCTCCTCCCCCCCCTTTTCAAAACCCCACCAGTGTTTGGTATCAACTGCATTTCCTTACATCTTTTTTTTTTCTAGCTCTCTCTCTCAATCTTCCGTATTCACCAGATCATTCATTTGATTCACCCATCTGCTGGTGTGCCTGAATATCAATTTCATTGATATTCAGAAAGGGAAGCCATCAGAGGAAATATGAAGAGAGGAGAGTGGGTTGGATTTTTGTTTTCCATCAGGGGGGGTGGGCGAGGTTTCCAGTGGCTTCCAGATTGTGTCAATCGTCACTGAGCCCTCGAGAAAACGAGACAATCCAGGTGCAGACTGTGGACTGTCTAAGGCATTTGAAGCGTGAAACACAATGGACGCTTCAGCCCTTTCCTGACTTTTCCCCAGTGTGGCAATATTTTATTTCAATTTAACGTACTGTGCAGTACAGTAAAGTAGAGTACAGTATTATTGTAACGAATGCATGACTCACCAGGGATTTGTTTTATATGTCTCTTGTTGATTCGCTGAAGTATTATTTGAATTTATTTGCACAGGTAATTGATCTTTTCAGCAACTGCATTTCTTCCAAACCTGTATGCTTGTGTTGCAACAAGATTTTCGTGTATAGTACAGTATTTTGAAAAATAGGGGGCGCCTCACTGCTGCTCGTTCAAAAGCATGGTGATTTTGACCTAGTTGGGAAAAATAGAAATATATTTCAATATTCTCCCAATCATGCTCTGAGTACAGTATTTGCGTATTTTAAAACTTTTTTTTCAGACCCTGCATAATGAGAAGAGGACAATTTCCTGTTACGGCCAGAGTTCCTTGCTCATTTAAGAGTATCCTTAAAATGAGGCTTCAAAAGGCGAAATTTTTTTATTGCTTAGAATACTAGAGAACATATTCTGGCCCTTTCAAAATAATACACTACAGTAAAGTACTTAGTTATTTAATTAAAAATCCCTGTGCATGAGAATGCTTAAAAATCAACATTGTATACTTTGAGTACAGTATGTTCTGCAAGCAATGAAAATGTGGTATTGTGAAGAAATGTGAGCTTACATTTTTTTCGTGATTAAAAGTGAGCTTAAAATACTGTATGTGGACTTATTGGCCACACGGCGATGAAATTAAAAATTGTGAAATTGTGTTCTTTTTTTATTGCAAAATGGTCATCTTTTGATACTCTTTGGTGTCATCTCTATTACTGTGATGACTGATTTTCCAAGACTTGGATGTTTGACCAAAATGGTCTTGTGTTTTCATTGTGAAAGAAATGTGAATAAAGCTTTTCTGTAACCTTCAACTTGCAGGAGCTGCCATCAACCTCAACAAGTCAGTTCCTTGGGCATATTGTGGATCAAACAGGCACACAATCTTGTCAAACTCAACCTATGCGCAGTGGAAGACTATCCAACACCTTGCCCAAGAAAATAATTGCCACTGTTTATTGCCTTGGCTACATTCCTCAGAGCACAGTTTGCAATTAACTTTTGTGCATGCTGAGAACATCTTGAACAAAACCATTCCATTGCCTCCACAAACCACTGTAGGCTCTACAAACTTATTCATGAGCACACCCAATTTTAACCCATTAACTGCCAAATTTTCTTTAAGCCTGCTCTTCATTGCTTTCACTTCACTTACATCCAGATTGGTTGAAAAATTTTATTTTCAATTTTTGAGTGAACATTTTGTTAAATATTTTCTTTATCCCCAAATGGCTCACAGCAGGTACCACCTCCTTTTGTTTCTTGGAGGAAAGCCTGCAAAATACATATTTTTTCAAATTTATTGACAAAATTGGAATTAGTTGCATGGAATTTATTTTGACACATTTACAATGATGGAATATCATCAGAAAAAAATTAAAATTCATCTTTTGCTGGATAATCATAATTTTTTAAGGCAAAAAACCCTAGTGCTCTTAAAGCAAATCGACCAAATAAATCTTCAAGCTTTTCCTTAGTGTTGAACAAAATGTAAAAGCTCTGAGAGCATCTGTTATCTATTCTAAAAAATTGAAATTTATTTTTTATTATTTTACAAAAATTTCTCAAAAATCATTTTAGAACAGTTGAGTGTGTTTTATATATTTTTATTCCTCTTGCTGCATTCTGAGCAATCGAGTTTATTTTACGGAACTGATAATCCTAATTTCAAGCAATTTAAGAGAAGTTTAAAAAATTAATTTTTGTTATGCTATCTGCCATGAGCTCCAATTGGAGATTGAGGATTTATGACAATTTAAACTTGGAATATTAAAAAAATTCTAATCCATTGAGGAGCAACCATGCTTCAAGGAAATGCTACGTTTTGACATTAGCTTAGATCAGATAATCCCAAAAAAAAACGTCACAGACAACTTTATTCATGAGCACACTCAATTTTAAGTGAAAAGACAGGCCAGAGGATTCGCTGGGCCATGCCGGCATGACAATGGATTCACACTCATATAAAGGAGATAATAACAGAGTGGGGGGGCTTGGGTCCTCTATAACTGAATCCCAAGACAGAATAAAGTAGTAGGTGAGATGTCAGAAAAGAAGGAACAACGAAATAACACACACACACACACACAAACGGAAACAAGGGGGTCGGAAGCAAAGACGAACCTGGCGTTGCGAGAAGAGATCCCGGGGGCAATCAGAGTTTTAGATGCGATTTCTCACCCCCCCCCCCCCCCCCCCTAGATATTGTTTGTCTTTCCATGACACACGAATACTTCAATTACAAAGTACCTCTATGCTAGAGGTAATTTTTTTGAATTAGCTAAATGGATGGTAAATTGGTGAGAGAAATGCCCAAGAACTTTTCTTACATCAATTTTGGGGTTAGAAATATCTGTTTCTTGTAATTTGGCCTGAGATGTATTTGAAATTTTATCTCAAAGTGTCCCTATGTTGAGTCAGTGTCCTCATGTCAGGCCTTTTTTATTGAATTTTAATGGGAAAATAAATGTCCCTATGTTGAATTGTCTGCATGCCAAGGTGTCCGCATGTGGGGGTCTCACTGTACATTAAAAACCTCCCTGAGGCAAAAGCTTTTCCCCTCAAACCTCCATAAGTTGAATTTTCTGTGGCCTGTTTGCCATTATTTTCTTGACCTGAGATTAAAAAAAAGCAATGAAATCTGAAGTTCATGTGTTTTAAAGGAAGTGAAAGACTTCATTGGGCAAATGAACCCCTTCCTCCAAGTTCAGCAGCATTTCAACTCATTAAAGAAGCCATCTAAGCTCCAGAATATCACCATTTACATTTTTTCCAAGTTTACCTTCAAAAAGGGCTTTGTATTGAAGTTCAAACCTATATGATTCAAAACCTCCCTAAGTCAAATTTTTGTGCAGGTCCCTTGAAATTCGACTTAGAAAGGTTCAACTATAATAAAAATAAATAAAAATCAAACTGCGTTTGATTAATTCTTGCGTTGAAAAAAATGTACATACCGTATTCTCAGGGGAATGTCGAAAAGGTGATTGAAGAGTGTACGAAAGCCTTGGATCTCGACCCGAAATATGTCAAAGCTCTCACGTTGCGCTGCAAAGCCTGGGAGAGGCAGGATAACTTAGAAGAAGCCTTGTTTGACATCACTACGACTTGCATCTTGGACAAGTTCCGCACTTCGTCAATAATGGAAACGGCTGATCGGATCCTGAAGGAAATTGGTGAGTCGGGTTGAAGCCGTTTTTTTTTTCCATGAGCTATCCTGCCGTTGAATCTTTTTAGATTTCAATTTTTCCGATTTTTAAAAATATCTCCAATGACGTTAGAACATGTAAGATAAGCTTGTAGTTTTGAAAAATATGAATTTTCCCCACGTTTTTGCCAATTACGTATCAAATAACCCCCATGGCCCATGCACAAAATCGTGGCAAACAATTGGTATAATTTTGAGATCGCAGGTGAAAATAATATGGTTGTTGAAGCAATTTATCCTGCGAAGAAACTGCTGAGACTCATGAGAAATTTGTTATAAGATTATTGGGAATTTTGATATCAACTGATATCAGATAATCAGAAATAATGAGCTTGTTGAAACAAGATTTTGATGTCATGGATCCTGCAAAGAAACTGCTGAGACACATGAGAAATTTGTTATAAGATTATTGGGAATTGTTATAAGATTATTGGGAATTGTTATAAGATTATTGGGAACTGTTATAAGATCATTGGGAATTGTTATAAGATTATTGGGAATTGTTATAAGATTATTGGGAATTGTTATAAGATTATTGGGAATTGTTATAAGATTATTGGGAATTGTCATAAGATTATTTTAATTGTTATTAGATTATTTTAATTGTTATAAGATTATTTTAATTGTTATAAGATTATTGGGAATTGTTATAAGATTATTTTAATTGTTATAAGATTATTGGGAATTGTTATAAGATTATTGGGAATTGTTATAATATTATTGGGAATTGTTATAAGATCATTGGGAATTGTTATAAGATTATTGGGAATTGTTATAATATTATTGGGAATTGTTATAAGATCATTGGGTTAACAATATTCTAATAACCCTTAACAATATTCTAATAACCCTTAACAATATTCTAATAACCCTTAACAATATTCTAATAACCCTTAACAATATTCTAATAACCCTTAACAATATTCTAATTTGGGAATTGTTTTAAGATTATCGGGAATTGTTATAAGATTATTGGGAATATCAACTAGTGCATGTATCAGATGATCAGAAATAGTAAGCTTGTTTACACAAGATTTTTGGTATGTTATGGATCCTGTGAAGAAACTGCTGGGGCACATGAGAAATTTGGGAATTTTATTATTGGGAATTTTAATATCAGGATTATTAAAAAATGAACTTGAGCAATAAAGTGAAGTATGAAATGAAAATGAAATCCGAAATTTTCTTGGACCAAGGATTATTTTTGCCTCATTAATTCTTCTTCTTTTCTCCTGAAGGTATGCGGAAAGCAAAAGCCTATTACTTTTGAGCACACGGAGATGAAGGGAGGTTTATAAAGTATGTTTTAATAAACAGGAGTAAAAACCTCCTAGGGTAGCAACTCCTTCGTTTCCGGAACTTACGTTTACAAGTACTTCTCCTTCGGCTCGATGATACGTGAGTTTATTGTTTTTTGTTTTATAATTTTCCTACTACGATATTAAATTTCCTGAACTACTTCCAGAAATTCTGGCCATTATTTGAAAGCGCTGGAAGCATTCAATGCCGGTAACCACGAGGAAGTTCTGACACAGTGCAATATGGAGTTGAAGGGCTATGATTCACCTAGTGGGGAAGGTGATGAGAGTGTTCAGGAGAAAAAGGAAGAAGTGGCGAAGGCCCTTCTTTTGAGAGGAACCTGGTTGTTTTTGATGGGTGATGGAGCCAAGGCTCTGAAAGATTTCACAGCCTGCATCGAGCATCCAGATGCGAATCTTAAGGTCAGCCTGTGTTGTGATTGAGACCTGTAGGTGCGCATAGTTGTATTGGCGCTTTTATTCTGATATATAATCCCCTGTTGGGAAACAAGCCAATAAAACACATAAAAAACAAGAGACTAAAGTGGTGAAATAATATTGCACTAGACCATCATCCATGACTTAAGTTGACATGAACAATAAACAGTATAAGTACAGTGAGACCCCAAGATGTGGATTTTCAACTCAATAAGAACATTTGGAGCATTGAATAGTGTATTTCTGTACTGTACACTGAAATTTTGGCATTACAAAAATAACATTCAAGTGAAAAAAGTAAAAGTCCCTCTATGCTGGAGGTGATTTTTTTAATTAGTGGAATGGATGGTAATTTGGTGAAAGAAATGCCCAAGAACTTTTCTTACATCAATTTCAGGGTTGGAAATATCTGTTTCTTGTAATTA